GAGCGTTATTTGTTGTGAGCAGGCTGTAAGAATCTGAGCAGATGCTCTTGGCTCAAAACTGATTAAACATCAAAGCCCAGTCACGCTGTGTACTGATATTCAGCTGTGATATTACATTGATTCAGATGATGTCACATTAAGGACTGTAGCCTCTTCGTTTTTCTGGAGTGGGTGTCTTTTTTTTTTTTTTCAAGGTGTGTAGCTTGTGTTCCCAGTCAGGTCAGGAACTGGCAGGGACTGTGAGAGAATTTTTAAAGCTAATTTTAGTGGTTTGTTAGTGGATGTCAGCTTTGAGAAGTAAACTCAGAATCTATTTGGCTGTTAGTGTTGAACAATGAAGCAAGTTTATTATGTGTAACTGTTGCATAAAATAATTTTTTTTTTGATTGACCATCTCCTCAAGGTGTTTGACATGGGCGAGGAGGAACATGACATCATTCTCCAAAAAGTTCAAGAGTCCAAGGTGAGACGTTTGATGCAGAATCTCCTTGCAAAAATGTCTGTAATACAGATGTAGGTGAAAACCAGTTGCACCTGGAGTGATAGACAGCACTGTGTCCATAATTGGTTAGCAGAAATCTATTGTAAATGTCCTACAACATGCACACTTGTGGCATCGTCCTTTCAGTCTTGATCTCTTCAGTTCAGTTTTCTTTGTATAGCGTCAGTTCACAACATAAGTCATCTCAGGGCACCTCACAGAGTAAGGTCAGGACTTTACAGCGTTCTATTATCAAGAGAAACCCAACAAATGCACTGATTGCGGACAGCGCACAATAGCAACAAGCCCCTCGGAGGTCTCAAAGTACAGATTTAGAAACATCACTAAATCCTCAGTGGTGTAGCCACAGGAGGTGTTTTGCAGTTTTTTTTTCTCTCAGTCACACTGGTGCATTGCTCAGGTCAGAACTGACATTCTGAAAAACTGCTTGATCAAACTCCACATCGTCTTGTCACTTGTGCATTTTATGAAACCTATTTTCCATTCTACTGAACAAATCGTTTTGATGTGTTCAGGCTGTTTCCTTTATGCTCGTGTCATGTTGATGAAAACACCAGCTCTCTGCTGAGTAGTGTTATATCATCTTAAACATCTAGGCATTAGTTCATTGCAGAAGTAATAACGTGCAAAATGGGTTGTCACAATTTATTCTTGCATAACATTGTGGTACAGAAAAAAACTGTTTATCAGCACAAGTGTAAACCAAAGAAACGCCCCTCTGTCAGAACTGTACATGCAGCGCTTTATGGTGAATTAAAGCCTTTATTCACCTCCTGATGTGCCCGTCTGTTGGACCGCACACTCTCATCCACATCACAACAAATATCTTCCCTTCCAATGCAGCGTGGAGGGAAGCTTTTGAAATGTCTTATCCAGCCTCTGCAGGCGACTGCTGTGATGTATTTTTGCCTTTGTGCTGCGCAGTGCTGTAACACAGCCTCGTATCACGATGACACGGTCTGTCGACAAATTGCAGTACAAAAAGTAAAGGCAAAAAAAAAAAAAAGTGTCACGTCTCTTGCAATCAGTCTGCTACACGCAGTCATGTGTGACATTGTGCTGTTGATACTGATATACGCCATACAGACAAAGTACAGCTTTGTGCATTTTTCAATCGCTGTCAACAAAAAACTTTGCCATGTTTGGAAAATACTTACACAACACTGTGTGCCACTACATGACAAATGATTTTTGACAGTGTTTGGAAACAGGAACACAACAACTTGTCATTCTTATGGCGCTGACATGTTGACTGATATGAATATTGCCTCTGAGAAATAAACTAAAGATTATGACATTGTGTGGCGCTGCTTGTGCAGATTTGCTTTCAAGAAATGCACTCACTGTTACACAAATGCACCAAATGGATATTTTCTCATGTTCAGAGTCTGAAAGGATAAAATAAGGTGAGAACATGGCCTTGAGAGCCAGTGTTAGAATGCACCGGTGCTATTGAAGATGTTTTTTTGTCAAAGTTGTGAGATGTAAGAACTGAAACACCCCATAGCTTCATTATGCATGATTTTATGCCTTTTTCTTGACCACCATTGACATTCCAATATCCCTGTTAAAACTCTGAGCGCTCTTGGAACAGTGGTTTATCTACATGGTGACTTACACATTCAGTATATACAGAAATCGATTCTTTACACGTTTACTCTGCAGTGCAGGTGCATGTTTACTTGAATGGAATCACTATAGAATCAGGTTTAATTCTTTCATACTGTTTTGGGTCAAATTTGACTCATTTTGACAGCAGTAAAAATATCCTAAATGTCAGTCTTTTAGCCTGAAACTTGGTGACTTTTCATAAAGTGACTGACACAAACAAATGAAAACATTGTAAAACTGTTATACTTTTGTACAGGTGCTACACATTTTTGTACTCGGAGGCTGTTTGGGATCAAACTTTACCAGTCTCCATTGAGATGTATTTTGGATCTACCAGTGTAGGTCAAATCAAGGAAAATGGTGTTTTTAGGGAATCTGGAAACTGTGAAACTATACAGGCCATGTTGTATGTGTATTTTATTTGCATAGGCTACTTAGAAATTATATAGACACTATGAGGGATTAAGAAGATTTACAGGAATGTGCTCAATTTTTTCATGCATTTTCGGTTTCATACTAAACGCACTTCCTTCTCCACAGCGAGCCAGTTTCTCCTTGAGAGTTTCTGTCATGAAAGCAAAGAATCTGATGGCCAAGGATGCAAATGGTGAGACATTTTAAGCATTAGATAAGCCCTTTTCTAGTGGAAAATAATAGCTCCGTGGTCTGAAAAGCTTTCGTAATGCCGAACTGATTCACCTCAAGTCCGCGAGCATTGTGCGGTGTTCGCCACTCCAGCTCATTAGGCTTGTTCGGATTGTGTGAGGCCTCTGCAGGTTCGACCAGCAGAGGTGATACAAAGCATGACAATTCTTTCCAGTCTGCTCACAAACTGCTGCTGTTACCTTTTTGCAGTATCAGTTTTCAGCATGAGGAGCTGCAGTTGATGTCCTTTGACACTAAAACCTAAAAAAACGTGAAAAAGTTCATTTTAACGTAACATTTTTAGAAGACACGTGAGGATGTTTTAAAGGAAATATGGTAACAAACCAGCAGGCTAATGATAAATGCTGCTGTAATGAACAGAATGCATCTATAAAATATCTCAAATTCGGTCAAAACGCAACTCAGACGTTAAAAAATGAACTGCATCTCTCAGATCAGTCTCGTGATCTATGAAATGTGAGACATCCTTTATTATTCCTGCATCAAGCTGCCCAAGCTGACAAAGTGCATCATTCCCTCCAGGGTATAGCGACCCCTACTGCATGCTGGGAATCCTGGTGGGCCAGAGTCCTCGGGAAACGGAGGAGAAGAAGGAGAGAAAGTTCAGCTTCAGGAAGAGGAGGGAGAAGCTGGAGAAACGCTCCAGCACCAAGGAGGTGTTGCCCGCCAGGTGCATCCAGGTGACCGAGGTCAAACCGGAGACTCTCAACCCGGTGTGGGACGAGCAGTTTGTGTTGTAAGTACGAGAAAATCTTTGTTTTCTGAGTGCTGTACGGGGTGATGTGTCATTGACTCATCACCCAAAGCTGTTAGTTATGTGAACAGGGAGATTCATTTTGTTGAAAGGAGCGCTGAAGGACTGAGCTGGTTTATATCAATGTCACTCATAGAAAAGGCCGTTTATTTCATGTTTTTAATCCTTTTTTTTTGCTTGTTTTTCTTTTTTTTTAGTGAAATAGATGATGTTCACAATGACCTCCTGCATCTGGACATATGGTAAGATCAGATTACAAACCTCATAAACACAATTTCCAGTGTATTAGATTAGATCCATTTCAAAATACATATAAACACTGGTTTTTCCAACCGACAGTGTAAAGTCCAACAATGTTTTAATTCAAGACCCCAAAAAATCTGAAAATTATTTAAATTTGATAGCAAAATCCAGCAAATGTTTGGAATTTTTGCTTGCCGCATAGCCTGTGAATAGTTTTTATTTGAACCTAAAACATCTATTCAGTGTAGAAAATGCTCATGAACGACTCATCCAGCAAAACGTATGGTCCTCTGTCTTCCCTTATTGTTATCATTTGGTCATATGGCAACACATTTTAAATCAATCACTAATATTTCAAACTCTTAAGATGCTCCCTCTCTTTTTTTCTTTCAAAATAGCAGTTTTTCAAGCAAACAAAAACGGTCTCCTGCTGTACATGGAGTGGGACATTAATAATAATTTCACTGCTTTATCCATTATGTCCTTCACTGTGAATAGCATCATTGTACAGATAAAATTGCCCTTTGAAGTAGATGCTCTAAATTACAAAATGTTCCAATTATTCGGCCGTTGCAGAAAGTTTTTCAGCCTTAGAGTGAAACCTGTAAAGAGCGGATTCGATAACATTTCTTGATCCCGATTGAAGATGTCCTTCACATTTCAGTTTTGCTTATGGCTGATTGAGAGGTAATAAAACCTGTTCTCGCAGGAAATGAGTGGTTGTTATAACTTTGATTTATCCTTTTTATTCCACAGGGACCATGATGATGACGTGTCTGTTGCAGAGGCCTGCAAAAAGCTAAATGAAGTCAGCGGTCTTCGTGGAATGGGCAGGTACCAGAAATCACTGTATGCTGTGCCATTATGGTTTACCAATGTAATTATGTGAACCTCTGAGGATTTAAGAAATCAAAATTCCTGCTTTTTAAAAATGTTGTGGGCATAAATGCTGCATCTAAGTCTGTTGGCACTGTTGCAGCAAAGAGATGAGTCGTTTAACATGTCAATTAAAGGGTCATTTCCATGTTTATTCAAGTTGCAGTTGATGAATAAAGAGGTCTAGTTCTTCTGTAGTTGTTGAACAATCTCACACCACCCTGCCTGTTAATTTTACAGGATCATGTGGTATTTGTCCTTTGAAATTCTGACATGCAGGAAAGCACGGTGCCAATAAAGCTGTGCACACAGAAAACACAGGGAGTTCACAGAGGTCACCGAGAGACTAATAAACACGAGTCATGTCTAGTGAACACCAGAAAATGTCAATCACAACCGAGCGACAAAAGGATCACAATCCTGCAGTGAAAAATGTGCAATTTTCATTTCATCAAAAGACGACTAATAGCCAGCGTTCATTAGGAAATGAAACTCATCCTGCCGTCGCTCTGATTGTGAGTCACTGAGGATAAAAAGCGGCCTTAGAAGTGAAAACCTTGCGGCTAAACGGGAGGATTCCTCGCATGCTGCTTTTTCTTCTCAGGTATTTCAAGCAGATAGCAAAGTCAGTGCGCTCCAATGGATCTGCTTCATCAGGCTCCGAGGAGAACGCAGACGACTTCCTCGGCTGCATCAACATCTCTTTGAATGTGAGTGTTCAAAGTGTTCAAAGTGGGGGGAGTCTCTCCAGTCAGCCGTGCCGAGCCGCCGTGAGAAATCAAACACAAGCAGAAACTCTAATGAATGACAGAATATGAAGGACTTTCCTCTGAAAGTGTGTCAGCGTTACTTATCGGGCTGGTTTCCTCCTTGCAGGAGATCCCTGTTGTCGGCTACGACACCTGGTTTAAGCTGGAGCCTCGATCGAGTGCGTCTAAAGTTCAGGGAGAATGTCACCTGCTTCTGAAGCTCTTCACCAGCCAGGTATTTACAGCACGACAACAATCTGGTGTATACTTCTTAATTGTGTATCATTTAAAATTACAACCTCTAATGTTGGTTTGACCTACAGAGAGACACAACTTTGTCTAAGAAGGACACAAACGTCTCTATTCACAAGAAACTGCTGAGTCAGATTGTGGAGTATGAGCACACTCATGTGAAGGTGAGTTTTATTCCTAACGAATTACATGATAAGGCTAGTTTTCATTTTTGACGGCCTTTTAATTGCATACTGTTTGTTCTTTTGCCATTTAATTACTTTATGCTTTTACTCTGTTGTACTGTTGTATTTAGCTGCTCTTAAAAATGACCGTCGGTGATTAGTTACTTGCTTAACTTGTTGATTGAGACAAATCAACACTAATTGGTATTTGAAATAATTAGAATTTAGGACTGTAGAGAGCCAAAGAAAATCACACGCACTACAACCAGTTGATTGGTCGCAGGGCAAAATAATAAAAATCTGCACATTATCTCTACATTAACTAAATTGGCCGCAGTGCACAAAGTACACTCTCCCTGCAGACTGTATTAGCCTAAACAAACATAAAAACAAGCATCTGCAGAATATTAAATCTCTTTAACCTAGCTGTTTGATTCAACAATTCCCAGTATGAGGCCATCTTTCCGTTCTGATTAGAGAGGAGGCTTCACATCCAGTTTATTTTGGGTGTAGCTGCTGCTGGCAGACACTGGAGCCACACAGGCCATTGGTTTGTTTGCACTCGACTTTATGGCCATCTGTTTTAACCAAATGAAGCCACACTAAGGACTTCTGGTGTTCTCTATTAGGCTGGATGTTCCAGTGATGGAAATTAGCATTAAATGTACATCCAGGCAGGCCGCTTTAACTTTGTGTTTACATATTTTCAATACATGCGCTGAAACATACAATCATTGAGAGTTATTTAGGGGCATAACAACCTGAATAATAAACTATACTGATGATAGATGCACATAGAAAAGATTTATGATGCAGCATTTTGTTAAAGCCGATACTTTCTGTGACAACATCATTTGACCTCAAGACCAGTTTCATGTGGTGTACAATAAATCTACAAGTAGGCTAAAGATGGGATATTCTCAAATGCGCTATGATTATTTGGTTTTGTAGTCAGATTAGAAATCCAGTACACAATATTCAAAAAATGTACGCTGGAAAAGCTCCTTCTGCCACCAACAGTAATGGATTAAAGAAAAGTAAAACTGGCAATTGTCCGACCAATGAGGATTTGGTCAGATGAGAACGTATCAACCACCCAGTCAAGCTGCAGACTAAAGCTGTGTTTGGATTAGCTCTGGCTGCGGGAGCATTTAATTTGTATTTGTATGATAGCTGGAGCTGAGTTATTCCAGTGTGAAAACAATCATAGCAAAAAAAAAAAGGTTATCTCTATATATAAAATAAAATAGAAGGCTGACCAGCACTGCTTTGTAATTCACTCTTCTGTTGCACCAGGCAGCAGTTACAGTAGCTGCAGATTAGCTGTAATAGTTTATGTAGATGAACTCTAATTTGAAAATTAGTTTTTCTCTTGAGTCCAGGCTCAATATGTAAACAACCTGATCTGCGCAGCTAATTTAAAGATTTTAAAGGTGTAATTACATGGTAAATGGTCCGTATCTATATAGCACTTTTCTACCTTAGTGGTACTCACAGATTGTGTTTCTCATCCACACATTCGCTCACGTAGTCACACAGATGGCGACAGAGCTGCCATGCAAGGCGCCCACCATCGGGAGCAAGTTCAATTTTAGCGTCTTGCCCGTGGACACTTCAACATCAAAGCTTTTCAAAGGGTTCACACACATTCTTCTGATATTGCTCAAGTGGTGATTGTAACGGTCTTCCATGTAACCGCAGAGAGAGCCGTATAACTGGAACGGACAGGTTTCTCCTCCAGCGTGGACTGTTCTAACTCACCATGCTGTGCAAACTGATCTCTCACCTCTCCAGCAGGCTATTATGTGAGTATTATTATGGTGGAATAAAATCGATGAAATCAAATATGTAAGCTGTAGCATCAGGTGGAAGGTGTGTGTTTTATGTCTTAACGCAGCCGCTGGCAGTGCTACAGCAGCCACCACCGGACCCAGAGGGTGTGCTACTCCCTGCTGCTGCGCCTCCTGAGGACCATCGATGCAGAGTGGGACCCTCCCGCTGTGCGCGGAGACCTGGTAGGTTCTCCACCATCGGCCTCCCTGTAGGAAATAACCTTTCATCGTCTAGATGACAGTCACCTCATTAGCTCAGCTCTTCACTGACATTCATCAAGATTTTTGGTCCAGCCAAAAATGTCTCACAGCCAGTGTACTGGAAGCTATAACTGAGGGCCCTTCCTGTGTCCAGGAGAGGCAGCTGTCAGACAGCTTCAGGCTGTACACAGAGCACTGCCTGTGCCTGATGAAGAACATGCGTCAGGTTTTCCCCTGCACCAGCGCTGCTGCCATTACACGCTACGAGCTCATGCTGAGGTAAAGTCACACCACCATCACATCACGCACTCGCCCGTGCTCCCATACCAGGAACACATTCAACATTTCACCCCAACAGACGCAGAGAGACTACGGCCAGTCAGTCACACTCTGTGGAGGAGGAGGAGGCAGTGTTGGGATCCCTGCTCACACACAAATATCTTGATCATTTCTCATTACTCATGTCAAAGGAAATAAGAAGCATTTTTTTTCTCCTCACTAGCTGAAACACAGCAGCTATCTGTGCCAACATATTGGCATATTATTCCATTTCAAAACCCTTTCATACACACTGGTGAGAGGGACATACAGGCATGAAAATCTGAAAGGATTACCCCCTCCTTTCAGAGAATGAATGTGTGAATGATTTGCTGTAAAGTAAAATACAGATTTCTTTTTACATGTGAAACTTTCAGCCAACAAAAGCAGAAGCATCCATCCTGTGGAGACCATGTGTATGCACTGTGAATCTAATGGAAATCCACATTTTTGTTAAATCTGAAATTTAAGTAAGAATTTACCCAGAAATTCTAGGAGGTTAGAGTTTATATTGACATAAATCCCAGCATGTAAAATCAGTCATCTATTGAGGTTCATGTTGCTGCATTTGATTTGGGGAGACTGCTTTTTGATAGAAACGTCTCTAATAAGAATTCGTGCTCCATACAGTGATGAGCACCTCAAGGAACATCTTCTCTACACGTCTCAGAAACACACACATGGAGTGACTCACCGCCCAGTTAAAGTTGTATCGCTGCTCGCTGCTCACATAATGCAGAATCCTGCATACAATTAAACCGAAATGGTTTTCCTGCGATCGTCACTGAGTTCTTAGAACACTGTGTCACTGAATGACGACCTGACAGCAGTCGATTGTTGTAGCTGACTTTTATTTTTTCCCATCTCTGTGTATGCCAGGGGGATTGGCTACATGCAAAACATGCGGGCATTTAAGACTGTATGTCCTCTTCGCAATGAGCTGCATTTGGACATCACCACTGCTGTCAAGGTAACAATAAAAGTGCAATAAAAAGATAAAAAGAAACCTGTTTGAATAGAGTTTTGTTCTTGTTTTTTTTTTTTACATTGCAACAAATCTGGATGCCTACAAGGACATGCATGAAAACAGATTTATGTGCAGTGACTGTTTAGCTGTTGATGCTATTGTTGCTGTTAAAGCAGCAAAGTACCAAGAAAAGAGATGTCCACGAAGAGCGCTTTGTAAATGAAGCCTTTAATGTCGTGAATGTGTTCAAAGCTCTAAGCTTTAAGGATGCACACATTGTGTCGTAGAGAATGTAAACAATCTTGAATACTCAACATGGAACCTTCATTCAAACCCATTTCTTCTCCTTTTATGTCGACAGAAAGGAACGGCTGAGTGGTATGAGAGCTTAATTGCGCAATATAAACCAGAAGACGGGGTAGGTTTATTGTTGTTAATAGAGGCCCTAATGACGGCATTGTGTGCCTTAAGAGTAAATCAGGATGTTGTCTGTTGTGTTTTTTGTGCCGCAGACTCTGGAGGAGCAGCTGAAGAAGCTGGTTCAGGTGATCGATGCTGTGTGCGCAGACGTCCAGAGAGCACAGAACATCTACAACAAACTCTTCTACAGGTGAATAGCAATATGAATGTCAGTTCTCAGGGGACAAAAAAGAAAAGAAAAAATACTGTGCTTCAAGGGTTTTGACAGATCTGGGATGAAACTGCTTTTTCTTGTATGCACCTTGGACAGTGAACCATCTGCAGTAGGATCTAAAATTAGACGTCTTTGTATCTATTTATGAAGTTAAGAGCTTCAGAAAAAATGTGTCAGGAGAGGCATGCAGTTCCATCTCAAACTTTAGGCTCCTTCTGCTTAACTATGTCTGAGTTGATTAAATCTTTTTTATCATAAACTATGGATAATTAGAATGGCATCTGTGGAATTTGAGATTAATTTATTAATAACCATCATAAGAATTTATCATTACTTTAAGTGTTTACTGGGATATTTTATTTTATTTTTTTTTTAAATTGCCTTCCGATCAATTTTCAGCACAATTTTTTTGTTGTTTTTTGCATTTTGCAATTTGAAGCTGTTACCAACGGTATCTTAGCAACTATTAAAGATTTAAGCCTGAAATATTCACTGTTATTTCTCATCAGTGTTTGACGAGTCGATCAAATAGTCGCTGTACCATTTTGAATCTTCAAAACTCTGTTCTTTCTTGGACTAGGCTATCGAGCAATATTTGTGGTACGCCTTGTGATATTTGCTAAATCAGTTCTAAAAGTTAAATAAAACTGTCTTTCATATTAAAAAAGTATTCTGTATGTTTTATTTTGTATGATTGTGACATGCAACTACATATGGTTCACAAAATATCACTAGTTGACTTCTGGATTATCAACTTTTTTTGCTAGTAGATGCTCAAAAGTTGCACTTTTCACAACGGCTTCAATTTGCTTGTGCTTGCCAATATTGAAGGATCTGAATCGATGGTATGCTGAGATATAACTGTGAAAATTTCAGGCTTTTATCTGTAATAGTTCTTGAGATATTGTCATTAGGACATATTTCAACATCTGAAAAAAAACAAGCCGAACTTTGGTCGAAGTGCAAGTTATTGTTAAATGATATTTCAAACAGTATTTTACGTATCAAGCTAAGATTTCACAGATATCTTTAAAAACATGCACATTTAAAGTTTCGGAATTTTAAGCAAATCAGAGATGGTTGAATAAGAATTGTTTAAAACTTTTAATGGTTGAGATGGAATGACCCAGTTGTTTTTCTTAACACTGCTGCTTTGGCTAGATCAGTCTTATTGGGACTTCCTGGTAAATCAAGGTTTTGAAAATGCTGTGCTACCTGGAACAGACAGGTTAACCTGTTTGTTTAGTTGCTGGACTGATGTCATGCTATGCTTTGTTCCCACAGTGCAGTGAAAGTCGATTTCTTCAGCATATCATACAGGCAGCTGGAAAAGCAGGTATGCCATTTAAAAGGATGAGTAAACACATCTCATGAACCCTTTGTGAGTCCTATCGTATTGTTGTCACTGACCTTGCTCGTGAACATTTTCTTTGATGCGACAGGCAGCTGATGATGTGAATGTGGCGATGGAGCGGGTGTGCGGGACTCTGGAGCAGGAGAGCTCCAGACTGACTCAGACGATGGGAGAAACCATCTTCGAGCTCTTCATGTCCTTGAAAATCCTCAAAGGCTTCCGAGAGTTTCTTCCCCTCAAGTTGGTTAACGCTGATGGCAGCACGAAAGCCTCTGATTCGTCATTAGCTCTTCTTCAGTTTTGAATTAATTAAAAAAATATATGCATGTTCTTCTCTAACAGGGATGCTAAGATGCTGGCCTTGACGGGCTTTCATAACTGGTTCAAGTCCTCGATTCATAAGTGGCTGCAGATCGTTCATGACAGATCCTGCGACAGGATCCGTAAAGCGGTGGAAACGGACAAGGTGAGATGCTCCTGACGATGAAAAGATGTAAACAACAAAGTGAAAGTGATGTAAGCTGGTCTTTGATGGCAAACAGCAGTGAGCTGGAATGCTTTCTGGTTGTTAGTTGATGCATCAGTAATGCTGTAGAAGAACTTTTAACCACCAGTATACTCTAAACTCACCTATTTAGCGTGTGATACCAGCATATAAATGTTTTCTGAATCTTTATTACTCACTTCAGCACTTTATAATGTTCTCAGCAGTATTTTTTAAGCAGTATTATTGTTAATTCAATGTGATTGTTTATCATAAGATATACATTATCACAAATAAACATGTACAAAATTCTTTATAATACCACAAAACACTTTTAAAGTTGTTCGTTTTTTGTTTGTTTCTTGAGAATTAACAGTGCAGAAATATATTTGTTTAAAACAATGATACAGTGTGTTGAAAAGGATTCATTAGCGTTAATTTTGCATTTAGTACCTGTTACTAAAAATAGTTAAGCTGTTAATAAATGATATGTGTTACAACGTTTCCACACAAGGCCTTTATGAACTTTTTATACAAATTCACAAGAAAGTTGAAACTATTCCTACAAATGTGTTTACATATTCTGAAGATGACGGCAGCTGTCTTGTCCTGTGTAATCCAGCATCCAGGAACTGTTCATAAACATGAGAAGTTAGTTGTTTAGCTGTTGTGCTTTATTTATCTTTATTATATCTTTATTATCACGGGTTATTAGGTAATTGTTTGTGAACACCTTAAAGATCCCAAGTAGAAGTGTGAAATAAAATATTAATGGGTTATACTATCTCAAATCACTAGGGGGGCTTCTTCAGCTCTGATTTATGAAATGAAATGAAATGAAATGAAATGAAAAATACTTTATTCATCCCAGAAGGGAAATTCAATCCTGTAAAAGCTCACCTTTCTTTTTTTTTTTTTAAATCAATATAACATATATTATATACAACAATAATAATTAACATGAACTATGTGTTTTTAATTTGTATTTGTGAAATCTTTGATTGATATATCAAGCGTTGTTTTAAAGATTTAATTTTATTTTTTTTATTTTAAAGGTTTTTTTTCTTTAACTTTTGCAAACAAGCTCCCTTCCTGTGCATTGCAGTTTATACACAGATAGATAGCAGTGATTTAACCCAAGTTAATTCATTTCAGTTTTAAAAATACTGTTTAACAAAACAGAAGAACCAGGACGCTAAACATGAGAACTTTAAGCAAATCATAAATTGTTCTAAAAATGCGATGATTTGAGCTGGAATGATCTATAGATCTTTATGAATGTTGATTTTTATTATTTTTTTCCCCATTGCAAAATCTTAAGAATGCATTTTGTTTTGTGAGCAGCTTGAGCCTCTGCAGCAAGCTAAACACAGCTCATCAGCCGTGGAAGTGACGGCTTGCTTCAGCCAGGTACGCGAGATCTGGCTCCAGCTGGCCTGGCCAGACTCTGCGGGGGCCTTCATCTTTGTCACTCGTTTGACAGACGTGAGTGCCACTTCTAGTGTTGCCACACTCACATACTCACACTGCACGCCCGGTGCAGAGAGGACTCTAAAGAACACACATCTACACACATCCACGATCAATTTCTGAAAGAGGAACCTTGTGCTGTAATAACAAGGCTGATTTTTATTTACCACAGAATTTCTGCAGCGAGGCCGTGTGCTACTCGGAAATGATAACACGCAAGATTGAGAGGAACCAGCTGGGCCGAGACCACAAGAGCTTCACAGTGCAGGTAACGCCTGTAGCAGGACAGAACCGGAGGAGCACACGGTGACGTCAACAAAAGTCAGCAAGTGTTCTCCCTGTCAGCACAGCGCCCAGCAGGAGGGCACATATTTGTACACACAAAAACAAAAGTCGTCGTCCATCATTTACACCCCGTCCCTCCGCTTCTCTGTAGCCCTGCTTCTTTTCCTTCTTTTTTTCTCCACCTCCACCCTCTGTTTCTCCTCTTTCGCTCCCTCTCGCTTTCTGCTAGCTCTGCATCGCCCTGAACAACGCCGAGCATGTGCGTGTTTTCCTGGGTCACCTGCCTCGCGACCTGGACTGGCAAGGTGTGGAGCGGGCCATGGAGGAGTCCTGCGGGGCGGAGGGGAAGGAGCAGGTTTACAAGGCCCTCAACGGACAGCTGTTCAACATGGACCTGGACCTGCAGAGAGAAGCCAAACACCTCATCACAGTGCTCACTGACAAGGTGAGCCACGTCTGTGAACCTGACAGATTCACATGGATGCAGTTTGTGACTGTCATGTCAAAACCTTGCAGCATGTCCATCATTAAGACTATTTTCTCCAAGAGGTTTTTTTTCTGCTACTGACATCTATACATAGTATAAAAATGATTTATACTCCACTACAACACACTATCTTTGATATTTACGTAAGGTTCCCGTCCAATTTGGAGATTTCTTTCATTTTCGTCTTCTTCTTATTCCACTGATGCAGTACAGGAGTGCATTTTGTGCTTTTGTGTGCTTTTAACTGGGAAAATACAACCTTCCTTTTCTCACGCACTTACTGTGATACTTTCTGTATCTGTAAATTCATTCCGTATATGTGCACGTGTACAGTATACTGTGTGTATGTATGAACCTGCATGCACATCTGTGAGTGAATACCTCTGTGCAGATGTTGCCTGAGCTGCGGAGGTACATCCAGCACATCAGCCTGTCGCCAGACTCCATCAACAACGACGACGTATGTGGCAGCAGCCGGCTATTGCACTATTCTTATTCCTCTGTCAGTGGTGTTTCAGTCATGGTGTGTAACGTGCGACATTGTTCCAGGCCGTGTCCCCTCTCATGAAGTACCTACAAGACACTATGGTCATCCTCACTGAAAACCTTGTAAAGGAAAATCTGAGCAGGTAATTTCTTCTCCTAGATGTGACTAAATGTTTTTTTTTTTTTTACTTGCGTCAAGTCAAGTGAAAATGATGCTGCTCCATTTTTAGCAGCATCAGCCCGTTCTGAATCAGATGCGCTTTCAAACAGCTTGCATTGTTTGAAAACACAAAACCTCATGACTGTGTACGCCATTTTAAGGAACCGATGCCACAGTAGCAATTGTTCCTTTCTCTGTGATAGGAGTGCGTGAATTGCAAATGGTAGCTTCTCACCCTTTCTGTTGTCTACAGGAGCACATATTCCTTGAATGAGCGCACACTGTTGTCATTGTAAGAATCCACCAAACGAAATGCTTCTGAGGATTCACTCTATTCTTTTTTTTTTTTAAATGGGGTGTGAATGTTAAGCGGTTATTAGTGCTCTGAGTCGCAATTATTTCCGATGTGGTGAATCTTAGCAGCTAATGCGACACAATCAGAAAGAAATCATTCAATCATGTCACAAACAAGAACACTGACGTAAATCAAGAGTATAAACTCAAAACACAGAGAAAATAAGAAGGTTCCCGAGCACATACATGTAAATCCGGTGCACATACAATACCTGCTGAAACGACGCTGTATAGTTGAATATAATTTAGTGTTCACCATTGCAAAGACCACCAGTGCAGCTTGTTACAAATGTTTTTCACGCACGGAAAACGCTGCATCATCAGCATACCTTCGACTTTCAAACCCTGGAGGATTGCCGGCGAAGCCACCATTGATTTTTACTTGACTCTAACTAACCAAGTTGCATAGCAATACCCACCTCTTCTTTAAATAAGATTGTGCCAATTCACAAGCACCAGGTCAAATGAGTGGCAGCTCAGCGAATAAGATTCTATGAGCGTGTATAAATGTAAGCTTTCCAATAATGATACCTCTTAGCGCTTACACTATGTACAAGTGCTCATTATCAAGCTATTATCTGTGCAAACATACATGAGGCTGAGTTGAGGGTGCAGGGGTGTAATTGGAGGAGCCGGTAAACACAAACATGTGGGTGTCTCATTGTGCTTGGTAGAGTTCTCCAGAGTATGTGGGAGCTGCTCCTTCGAATGATCCTGGACGCAGTCACAGAAAACAGAGGCGTTCAGGTGGAGTTTTACAACCGCTTCCAGTACACAGTAGAGGTCAGTAATTACTGCATCACACAATATTCTGTTATTATGTCTTAGCTGGACCGTGTGCCCACTAAGAAGAGTAACGTGCCTACAAAGACGAGTGTCTACTCCGTAACGATAATCAACACTATTGTCGCCATCATTCTTGAATTATCTGTGTATGCTCACTGAGGTGCAGTCGTTAGCATATATCTGATATTCATGAAGGTGTTCAGTGCCAAAGTGAGTTCCCTTATGAATGACAATGTGGGAAGTGCTGTATATTCTAATGTCAATCTAACCAGCTGGCAGAGTTTCTTGAGAAGTCATGGCATACCACACGATTGGGCTGAGTTTAAATCATGTTTGCCCTCCAGTGGTTTCACGCTGTTTGAGTAAACGAGTGTCTCTGCTATGCTGCAATATGAATCAATCAATACACGAAGGATGAATGTGATGAGGGTTTTTTTTTTTTTTTGGTCCGTTTGGATGCTTTAGACGCTGTTGCACTTCTTCCATGCTAAGGGAGAGGGTCTTTCCATGGAAGACATGAAGAGCGGAGACTACAAGGTAGGAGGCAATCTGTCAGCCGAGTCTCTTGATGAATAAGTGCAAGGTCAGACCTCTGTCCTCTTATCCACCGTACCATTTATCTCTTTTCGTTTCTGGCCATTTTGACGCTGCTTTAGGTCTTGGATGAGGAGCTCAGGCTGAATAAATGTTCCTCCTTTGAGCTGATTGAACAGTACTATCTGGAGAAGATTTCCCACCAGGTGCTTTTCAACTTACCAGACAGACAATCTCATTTTAGCCCCTTAAAGTGGACAGGGAGGTATTGATTGGACTGCACAGCACTCTGTCTTCTGTTGTTAGACTGCTGATTGAAAATCTGCCTTTCTTCTAAACTCCTAAAAAACATGATGCAATCAAGTAGAGCGACACGAAGGTGGATGCATGCTGCATATTTTTAATCAGCAGACTGATAAAAAAAATGTTTTATCATGGGGTGAACATTTTTCTGCTTATACTATATTTAAACATGTATTTAATGTTGCAGAAAACACTCAAACACACCCGTTATGGTCGCATCAGTGTGAAATGCTATTATGATGCTCCAGAGCAGAGACTGACGGTGGAAATTCTACACGCCGCTGATATCATTGCACTGGATGCTAACGGTAAAACCAAGTTTTTAAAAGTCTGAATTAAGTAATGGTTGTGTTTTTGTTAAAGTTTTTAAAAGTATTATTTGGTCTTCTTTAGGCCTGAGTGACCCATTCGTCATCGTGGAGCTCTGTCCTCATCACCTCTTTCCTATGGCCAAGAGTCAACGCACACAAGTGAAACTTAAGACACTGCACCCAGTATTCGATGAGCTCTTTTATTTGTGAGTGCTCTTTCTGTCTTCATCTAACTGTTGATATGCACACATCCTGCCCCTGACGTGTTTGGTTCCGCTGTCTTCCAGCCATGTCAGTCCTGAACAGTACAGACACAGGTTTGCCTGTTTGACCTTCACTGTGATGGACTATGACTGGCTGTCCACCAACGACTTCGCCGGCGAAGCCGTCGCTCCTCTCAGCGACTTCTGCTGGCCAGGGAGACCAAATGCTACACCGGCTGGGAAGAGCGTCCAGCCTGTCATTCTGCACCTGTCTCGCAGTAAACCCAGTGGTACGTATAGCTCCAGGCTGTATCATGGTTTGCTTGTTTTTTCCACACAAACATAATATTGGTTTCTTGGAAGACCTGAGGGTGTAGGCCCGGGTTTCCAATTACTTTTCCAATGCAACATGAAAAGCCATTTAATCTCGACATATTTGTGTCAGGTGTCCAAACTGTTCTCATCTGTTTGCTTTCCCCTCCAGAGAAGCCAATCATGAGGATGCTGGACGCTCGCATTGGAGACAGGGAGGCTCAGGAGTTTGTCCGCAGGCTGAAGGAGATTGAGAAGTCAATGGAAGAGGAGTAAAAGCTGTCATTGCTGCCTGTATTGGTGTTTTCTGACCACGTCTTGCGACATGTGCTTTTGTACTGGTACAATGTTTACAATATTTGGATCCCCCCTCCCCCCAATGTTATTGTTTGTTCTGTAATTATACCAAAATCAAAAGAGAAAAAAACAGAAGACAGTGAAGCTTATCGCTGTTTTCTTACTGGGAGACAAACATCCTGTCACTGTGCAACTCTACGCTGTCTCAGTTAAACTATATTTTAGAATTGAATGGATAGTTGATCCTAAATGTTACTAGTCTATATTTTTTGTAATGAGGTAATTGTTATCTTTGTTGTATAACCTTTGATATGATAGATTTAACATTTTAGAAACTATTTTGTGGAAGTAGCTTACATATCCAATAGTAATCAGTCTGAATCTATACCTCAGATGTGCTCATTAGTTGCAGGGGAGTTCAACAGGCATCGCACTCTTCACGGACATTGTGGAGCTAAACTGCATGAAAGCTTATTTAAAATGTGAAAACCTTAACCCGCGTTTATTTTCCAATTTATATACTGGCTTACCAACAAGCAGCTATGATTCAATATATAAATGTCTTGAAGGCAATCATGAAGAAGAGGCTTTTGGGAGCTGCACTTTGTGAGACTTGGTGCTTCGAGGCCAGTCAGACGGATGAGCAGCGGGGAGGCCCGACGCTCCCCTGAGGCCACGCCACAGCTCCGGTTCATTCAACTTCTCAGATTGCTCTTCACAAAGTATGTGATGGGTCATCGGAGAGACCAGAGACGGGGCTACCAGAGTGGAGGGAAGACAAATTCTTTCAACTCACTTCCTTCTTGAGTGATTGTAGCACTGAGAGTTGTTTTTCATGTTTACAGCAGTTTAAGTGCATCGTAGAGGCTCAGAACATTTACAGAAACGGAACATTTGTGAGTTGATTCTTACTTCATACTGTCAGCTCAACATTTTTTTTGTAAGGGTTTTACTTTATATATTACTTTAGGTTCAGTTTGTTTCTTAATTTGTACCAAAAAGTCTTAATCTGCCTTCCTTTCCTTGACTTGTGCAGAGAACAGATTTGAAAGTTGATTTATGTAACATGACGATTATATTTGTTTGCAGAATCCAAAGGAAACACTTGACTCGCGAAAGCACGAATCGCTTCTTGCTTCTGCCCTGCTCGTAACAGTCAGTATTCAGAATGATTTTCATGGTCGTGGAGATCCACAAGTAAACCCAGATAATTGAAAGGGAGAAAACACACCGCCGACGTCCCCAAAGATAATGCGGGACGCGGCGCGTTAGATGCCCTTAAGTCCAGATGGTGGAGCATCAAAAACATTTATAAGGAGAATCCAAACTAATTGCAGCTAATGAGCGCATGTGGCATTCAGGAAGCTCTCAAAACAACCATCAAACACCACAAAGCCTTTGTTGCTCCAACTTTAAATCGATGCAGGCTCGTCACAGGCCTTCGGCAGGGCTGGAAATTTGAGTTTGTGTCGTGCTGTGGAGCTTATTCTCTGGAGGTAAAAGAGAAGACAAAAGGATAATGAACCTGTGCGGTGGCATAATTATACTTAGGGGGCACGGCCAGCCCTCCCTGCCTGCTGTAGCTCTCATTGGCCTGACAGGAATAATTTCAGCTCGAGCTCTCGCCAATCTCTCAAAGCTGCGTCTGTGACTGAAAGGTTGGGATCTTCATGTTTTTTGGGATTTTTTATTTATTTATTTATTTTTCAAAATTAGAGGTGATGGTCAAACTGCAACCTAGAATCCATTTTCTGGTGAAAAACATGTAGTTGTTGCTCCTTTTGTATGCAACTGAAAGCACAAATTACAGCGAAATAACGGAGTTTCCTTGATTTTACTTTCAGCATTGTCATAGCGAGGGCCTATTCTTTCTTTTTTTTTTGGTAATTTTGATGAATTAGTCAAAACAACTAGGTTTCAAAAAGGAGACCTTCTAAAATATATTCTCTTTTTTTTGATAGTATTGATGAATTAGTCATGAATTTATAGGCTGAATATTTATGATCTGTGTTAATCAGGTCTCATGAACAAGAATTATATAAATTATTTTCTAAGGCAGCCTCATTAGAGCTGGACAGAAGGTGAATATTATCATATTATAATGTTATAAAGACAAACAAAAGAATGAAAGAAGTGCTTATGGGTTTTTATTTACGTTCCTTACTGTTGAAGATGTAACTTAAATTTTACAACTAGAAAAGAAACAGTAAGAGGCAGGTCTATGCTGGAAAATAAACAGATTCCTGCTCAAGTGAATTTAAAGAAAAAGCACAATTGGGCTTTTGGGAGTTGTTAAAGTGAATTTTTATGGGTTTTTTGTTTTCTTTTCCCACTATTTTAGACGAGACCACCAGATCACTGCATAGTCTAGTGACGAAACACTGAACAACACAGTAGCAAGTACCGAGAACTTAGCACCAAAACCTTCACACCGACAGCATTTTGATAGTGATGTAACTTTTACTGTAGCTGCTTGTGTCGTGCTTTGTCGTTCCCCTGTGGAGTCGTGAGGATGAAGCACGCAAAAAAAACAAAACAACAAAAAAAAACAAAACACACCATATCTATGCCTGGAGAGTGTGCTGCATTACAGGGACTGTTCAGGTGTGCCAGAAGCCTGCCTTACTGACCGGAGCGGGGAATTCTTTCAGTCCACCTGAACAGCACTTGACTTTTATGTTTTCTTTCTGTTTCTTATGATTTCAAGATATTTCAGGTAGAACTTGTGTTATTACAGAACTCTTTAATTGTTAGTTTATCTCTAAAAAAAAAAAAAAAAAGGACCCACCACCTTCACTGTTAACTCTATTATAAACAAAGATGGAAGGCTTTCAGTAAGATGTTTAAAAATGAAGCAATTCTATTTTCTCTGTATTCTTTTCAAAACCAAGAGTTCTGACCAGATGTTTACAAAGAGAAATGCAACCTCACTTTAAATGTGTAAACCATTATTCAGTCAAATGCTGTATAATAAAACTATTTAACAGGATCAGGTCTTTCTAACAGCATTGTAAGCTAAATCAAATTTCACAGTGACGATTTTAAATAAGAAAAAAAAAAATCTTTTCCAATACTTGCGGAAAGCAGCGTGTCTTTTCCCATGATTATAGCTGTCTGAACTCTGTCACAGTATCGTAAATGTCTTTATGTTGGGCAATCTGGTCAGTATTAGTTGAGTAAACTGATTTACTCTGGTGACTTTTTTTTTTCAAATTCAAACAAAGTATTTGAGTCTTCAAATGTTCGGTGAAGTATTAGTATTAATATGGTGTTCATTTCCTACACAAGCTGTAGTTTTTTGCTGGCCATCGTGGAGAAAAAAAAAAAAAGGATCCAGAAAACATGGCAAAGCACATCAGACTGTGAATGAACAAAACAAAAAAAAAACCATCATGACTTAGTTTCATGACTGTCAGAGCATTTGATTTAAACGTGATATAGAAATATTGTTGAATTCAGTACTTGATGTCTGTCGTTCAGATTTAAAAGGCAACAGCTGGTGAAACGTACCCGCAAGAGGCACAACACCTTCGATTTGTTATTGTAAAAGTGAATTTACTTGTCCTTGAATTGTAAATGCCTGTGTTGCTGTTCATTGGATTATACATTTGGGAGATGTCTAAGACCCCAATAAAGATTGTATTTAAATTTCCGCTCTGTACCTGGGTGTGAATCCTGACTCTTTCACCTGAAGTGTGTTGTTTCAGCTGCGTTTTGTGTTCGGTGTTTGTCCACTTCATCCTTCCAATACCGTCGTCCTCACCGTCCACCTCCCTCCTGCCCCGCGGTGCCGTGTCTCTGGCTTTTCTTGACCTTTAATATTTTACCTCCCCTCAGCAGTGGCGAGCTGGAGATCAAACACATCATGTAACACAGCAGCAACGGGGAGATTACAGGGCCAGAGAACCTTACCGTGACACAATCACATTACTGTTTCACATTTCTCAAAGAGCTACTATGATAGTAGATTAGACAAGGATTCCTCGTAGCCCGAGGACAGCAGAGTCTGTGAGCTGCTGAATGGGAGCCGGCGCATTTTAAATTAGTGGCCGAGTGACGACAGCAGGGCGCTGGATTGCGTCCTGGCTCAGGTGTGGAGAGGACCTTGTCATCTAATGCAGACATCATGCCCTCTAGTCAGAGGCTGCACATACAGCTCTCTGGTGCTTTAATGTGTCTGTGCAGCTGGAAGCCTCTTATAGGTTCCCTCTCATCTCAACACAAGCTCTGTTCACTCAAACATGCATTTGTGTGAGACAGGAGATCAAGAAACAGACAGTTTTCATTAGGATTTCCAATTCTGACCACAAGATGTCCTCGTAATTTCACAAATCCTCCTCCTTAGTCACACTGGCATGCAGTCAGAGCATTATTGATTATTTACAGCCACTTACTGATATCAGGAAGAAATCAAGAGTTTCTCCCATGACATCCTCTCATGGTCGTCAAGTCGACACTGTATCTGATTGCAGGGAGCCTTCAAATGGTCAGATTGTATTTCTTAGCAGGGAGGACGTGATGTTCTGAGACTATTAATTACTGCGGATCATGTGGTACATAAATGCTTTACTTTGCTGGTAAAAGTCCTTAACTGCTTCGGTATCGAATGTTAAAGTATAAATTGGAGACAAATCGCTCATGTTTGATCAGTTGAGAGAGATAATTTGCTCATGTAAGAAAATGAAATAAAAATGCAAATATTAAAGAGCCTGAGATTTAAACACTACTTGATCAAATTAGTTGCGTTCCTGCACTGCTGTTTTAAATTACTTTTCTAAAGCTGCTTCACAATCACATTTTCTTCTCTGATGTCATTAATTCCCGCTCTGATGAATTTTAAAACAAAGCCACACAAAAGCACTTGATTTCTGGATGGTTTAGTGGTTGGAGGGAGCTAAAGTGAGCTCCCCTTGTCAGGTTTTCTTTGAGTTTTGGCAGCGGGCTGGAGGGAGGTAGGAGCTTTTAGCTTGGTGTTGATC